TTGAATATATCGCAGAAAATTTGTTCTAAACTCTGAATTCTCTTCAGAAGTCTATCCACTGTGTCTTTATAAAGTATGAAGTTAATTATCTGTTATTTAGAAACAATTTTTTTGTGAATTATCCTTTCTCATTGAAAAACATCAGCATTGTTTTACTGAAGATTTCTGAAACCAAACTTTCTGTGGCCGCGGTTAAATTTCTCCAAGGTAAACAAACGACCGCAGATTTTTCTAAGGATCGTAGCAAAGCACTATAGGTAATTTCCAATCAAAATATTTTTGGAAAAATGCAACGATTAATATTGGCCATTTAGATTAAATCGCTGTTATTTTTAGCTGAGCTTTCGTCACCATTTCTGTAAATTTCACTGGATCAAAACAAACTTTTAACTATGCAGAAAATTCTACCCATAAGCAAACATAATTTAATGAAACGCAGGTTGAAATGCTATAATAGTAAACTCTGCAAACTACAGTTTTGCAGTTCTGGAGCACATCATATGTTCAAAACATTAGGCTGTTTACAATGCATATGATATGAAATTGTTGCATTGCATTGATTTATGAGTGAATATAAACAAACCAATTGTATATTAAATTTAAATATTAATCCATAAAAGTGTATTTATTATTAATAAATAGATTGAATTATTATTAATATATAGATATATATATACAACATATAAGATTTTGTTTTTATTTTAAAGATGTAATATAAAGCATCATTAGAATGTTGATTCAGAATTTCCTTATTATTCGCAAATAGCTTCCTTTTTCCCTGAATCTACATGTGCCAAACTGTAAAGAAGCATAACATATGTAAAGATTGTTCCTGTGGTTGCCAGAATAAAACTTCTTTTAACGGGAACAATTTTCCACACTGTTAAGAAAATTTCACTTCCTATGCTTTCACGAAATCTCTGCAAGACTCCACAGGACCAATCGTTTCCCTGCACAACACTTTGCGCTGCACAGTGGACATCAAGAGAGGATTCGTAGACAAGTGACCCACATATGGTAATGATAAGAAAGGATATAAAGCTTGATATGAATTGCAACGAAAACACAACATTTAATTGATTTTTATCATAGAATCCTGTTGTTAGCTGGAAAAACATTGTACCGGAATTGTAAAGTATTACCAGAAAAGCATTGAAAGACAGCTGTCTGTCAATTTGTTTCGCTAATACCCTCAGTGAATTGTAACATTTCATTGTCGATTCGTTAACAATTATCTTCCGTTCTCTAATAGATGTCGCCAAGTTTCGTATTTCTTCTTTCAGTTGGTAACAACCTAAGCCGTAGAATATACCAAATGTATGAATTGGCAAGTAAGAGTAAAGGTTCATTGCAATCAATAACAGTAGTTTTATTAGTGTTACCAATATGTTTCTTTTGGGTAACTTGAATATATTGCACAAAGTTTCTTCTAAAGGATCCAAAGCAGGCAGTAAACAAATAATTACAGTAATCTGCATCAGCATGATTAAAATAATCCAGATATATATACAGTACAGGATTCTCTTGCCGAGTTTGCACTTTAATTCCGATAAGCTGTTCATTAATTTTTTCATATTATTTATTTTGATGGTCAGCATAACTCTATGCACAACTGTAACGATAAACATGGATACCTGAATTGTTTTCCACACTAGACTTCTGTCCCAAGAAATAACTATTACAAATATAATATGGGCTAAATTAAAAAAGCATAAAATTATCCCCTGCAGTAGGCATTTGAAAATGTAAATTAGTTTCTGACCATTAGAGGTAGCTTTCATATTAAATATTCCACTTATATAAAACAGGAATATCACAAGTCTGTATAATGACTTCATTTTCTGATGTATGACTTTATTTTTATAATTCCTGATCATTTTCATCTCCATATATCTTTATTTGTTCAATCCTTGTGGTTGTATATTTGGTTTTGCCCTATCCAGGTGTCCAATGGGCTGTTAAGAACGAACTTGTCCCCGCAGGTTTAACTGAATTTACAATTAATCATTTACCTTTGATTTCTATCTTCAGTGTTTAACCATTTCAATTCTTCAAGTCAAATCAGAAACGGTTGAATTTTCAGATTAAAGAAGTAAAAGATTCTTTAATTCTCTTTAACTCTTCGATCTTTGTACATTTTTTACTTTATTTCTGCCTATTGAGATGTCCAATAAGCTGTTGAGAATGTCCTTGTCTAAACGTTTAACATAATTCCTAATTTCTCAACATCTTTGATTTCGATATTCAACATTTCACAGGTTTGACTAAAATAACCGAAAATTATTTTTGCATTGCCTCTTCAATAAAATATCGCAAAATGTGCACAGGTTAGGCAAATAGGCAATAACTGATAAGTCCGGCTTCTTAAAGTGTTTCTCTTTGATTAAAGAAAAGTTATGATTTTGTACTGCGATCACTTATCGGAGTAGTTCGTGACATCTGACAATTTCATTTTCGATGCGCAGTAACACAATTAAGAATAAATCAATAAATAATGTAAATCCGACATGTGATCACTTCTTGACCAATGGCAGCAAAGCAATTATGCTTTTCAGTTGCGTTACTTCATGAGCATAGGTGATTTCCTTTTCTTTTTTTTTAATTCGAATACACTTTTCCTTATTGTTTATTTGCATTTTTTCCAAAAGACTTTTATTGCAATTACAATAATAATGTTTTATTTCCCAGTAAATATGATTTTAAATGTTCTTTGTTTAAAATCTATCAATACATTTTAATTTTTTTAAAGTGAATGAAATGTTATTGTTTTCTAATTTTCTTTGTTCAGTGTCTTTGCCTAAGTTTCTAAAATATTCCAGTACCTTTTGTTATGTCTATTCATACGCTTTCATATTATTGCCTACGTAGGTTACAGGGATAAACGCGCGTGAGATAAACACATACACCATACAAATTTTACATAATAACAACGATAATTTTATTCAACATAATATGCTTTTACCATTGGCACACTAAATCAATAAATTTTAAGGTATCGTTGATTATATACGTTTAATGGTTACAGTTCTTGGTCACTGAAAATTACAGTGAAACGCCATTTATACATTCCTCATGCATATGTGTTTTGTATATATATATGTCGTTTCATCTCTGTTCCGATTCATTACTTTTCATGTTAATAATAAAATATTTCATTTATTGCTTTTTGTCGAATTGAATTAACCAACCTTTATTTTCGCAGCTGACAACGTTTCTGTGAAAGTTATTTTTTCTTTCAATAACATTCGTAAGCTGTATTTTGTGTGTGTGTGATTATGGCAAAGCCTCGAGGGCTATCTGCCTAAGAGGAGGGATGACTTCGTGGAGGACTTTCTAAGGGAAACTGGCTCGTATACAAGTTACACATGGCGAAAACCACGAAAACGACCATGCAGCCAGCCCGTTCGCGGGATTCGAACCTCGGACCGAACTACCAGTGTTCAGCGATTTTACCGCTCGGCCGCTGATGGGCTCAAGCTGTATTTTGATTAAGATATTAGGAGGAGATCTGGATACCTCAGGTTGAAACAGATATAAAGGAAGGTCTCGAATGGATAGAAATGGTCTCGAAAGGGTACCTCAGAATGGGTAGAAATTCACCGGCTGTTGAATGCAAGAAGGTCGCTTGAACAGACAAAAGATAGAATGGAATTTGCTAACCAGATTCTTTTTCCTGATGGCACACGCTTTCATCTTACATCTTTTAACCGGCAGATTTTAACTAAGCATAAGCTTAAATACTTTTACCTGAGGCAAAGCGATATATGTGCCTCCTTATGTGAAATGGCGTTTGACCAATTTGGGGTAAAAATGCAGTGTCAAATTTTAAAATTGAGTATCGTTCTGTGATAAAATTTCTCATTAAAGAAGGTTTTCTTTCTTAGTTGATTATAGTAAAGCACACTAGGACTATCTGTCTAAGGGAAGGGGTGCCTTCTTGGAGGATGTTCTAAGGGAAACTGGCTCATATACAAGCTACGCATGGCAAAAACCACGAAAACGACCATGCAGCCAGCCCGTTCGCCTGAAATCGTCGGAACTATCAGTGTGCAGTGATTTTACCGCTCGCCCACTGGTGGACCGACTAAACACGACTTAGTCCCAAATAAATTAAACAATGTTTGGATCATATGTATAGTCATTCGTCTCAGATAACACGACTTACGTTCTAGTGACATTAGGATTTTTTTTTTTTTTTTTTTTTGAAGAAGGAAAGATGAAAAATATGCAATGCTTTCGCCGGGAATCGAACCGCGGACCTCTGGAATGCGCGCCCAGCATGCAGACCACCACACCACGAAGGCATGCCAAGAAGATGGGAGAAATACCTTATAGCGTCTAGGAATAACTATTGAGATAGAAGAAAGTCAAGGAGACAGTAGCAAGATTCAATATATTTAAAACAACTGTTTTGCGCATTCTGCATGCACATGTCGTATGAGTAGACACGTGTGCTTCAACTTCTTTCAGTAACTGAAAACGAGAAACGTCAAAGAGCTTGACCTCCCTGCTGTGGTTAACGTTGATTATTCCACGTAATAATCCACAAAAGAAGGAGCCATTCTGTATTCTTTCATGCAAATACATATCTATTTTCACACCAGGAGTATTTTTCACATTATCTACAATTCACTTCTAAATGCCTGTCTTAAAATGGGGGAAATTGTGCGCTTATGCATTCATTCAGTAAGTGCACGCCTACAGCTATCGTATTATTACTTCCCTACTGTACAAACCCTAATGAAACCCTAATGATACAAACTCTAATACCTAAATGAATTATTCCCAATGATAATCAATCGCCAGAAAGAGCTGCATATATTTTCCCAGAACGTGACAGAAGAAGGAGTATCAGCCACTATATCCTCCTTGTGGTCCAGATTTAGCTCTAATTAATAATTTTCTATTCTTTAAATTGAAATTTGACTTTTGTGGAAAACGATAGAATACGTATCTCTAAGCTTGCATCTCGTCTTCATTAACACTAAACCTCTTTGCAGATGCAACTAAATCCAAGATGTCAAACACGGGCGCCCACTCGAGTTGTCATTTAGAGGAAACGATCACAGGTCACCATTTAAGCCAACAGCATTGTAAGTTATTAATCTTTTCAATTTTTTAAACAAGAGAAACGTAAATATGTTGCCTTTCAATGTGAACTATTTCTGAAAGCCATAGTCATTGCCTTCAAAGGTCAAACGCCGACGCAGAAAAATGCATCTGTAGATCAGCGGGGCCCAACCTTGTGCTCGCCGATCGTTTTGTATGTGCTCGCCAGCTCGATTAGGTACTATGAAAAAATTTAAAAAATATTTTAAAAATAACCATTCATTTATATTTCTTAATTGTTAAAATATGGTAAGCATTTATAGTCATAAGAGATATCTTGCAAGACGTTATAAAATAATTGATTGCTGACTGATGAACATGGAATCATATCGCTTCATTCCGATGTTAGATGGCTCAACAGGAAAGTACTTGAACGATTTGTAAAACTTCTCTCGCCAAAGAAGCAGTTTTTTGAATCCGGAAACAAAAGTTATAAAGAATTGGACGATAATAATTGGTTATCCGATCTATATTTTCTCACGGATATAGCAGCTAAACTGAACAAACTGAATGAAGATCTCCAGGGAAAAGAAAAAAAAAAAACCCTTTTTCAATTGACTGGGACTGTAACTGCTTTTCAGATAAAGTTAAATTTGTGGATAAATAAGATGAAAGAAAACAATTTCACCCATTTTCAGAATTTATCAAACCATATTAATAACCACAAGGCAATTGAAACAGAGAAGTACTCGGAAAACCTAAATGCACTGAAAAATAATTTTGAACTCCGCTTCACTGATTTCCATAAAGTTCAACCAATACTATTATTCATCTCAAACCCATTTGCCGAAATTAATATTTCAGATGTATCCCAAAAGATTGGAAATATGTTTAATAGAAATGTTGATCAAAATGTGCTCGTGATAGGCCAAAGTTTGGGCACCACTTCTGTAGATCATCCTTACATTCTGAATAATTCATTGGTTAGATAAGGCTTGTTGCTTTGGACGGCAAGAACATAGCAAAAATGTTTTTCGCATTAAAATTTTCAGATTGTTATACACATTCCACACTTTTTATCTCATAGATCTAAATTTCAATTTTAAATTTACATCTTCAGATATGCCATTATTTTGATATTGTTAGTTAACTAAGTGCCTATTACAATAGATTTTACTGCATTAACAAAATGCTCGATAGTATATCGCAAATACAGCGATTGCTGTTAAAATTATCAGTTAAACTTTGTTAATCTGAGCTTCTTTAACGTGTAAGAAACATTACTAATCGATAAATACAGTTATCATTGTTGCATAATCCAAGTACGCATTTTAAACCAAGTACACATTTAAAAAATTACAAATTTAAATGCCTTTCTTTTTTTTTTTTTAAATATTTACTTATAATATTTAATGTTTACCAGCTTTCCTTTTCAAAGTCTTCGTTTATTCCAGAAACGTCACTTAAAATTTGCTTTTTCAATAACTCCATAATTTTAAATAATAACTATTTGTAATTAGATAAAAAAAGGGAGTAAATTTCCTTTAATTCATTTTCTTTATGGTTATACATCCAATTTATAGTTTGTTATTTTGAGAAGGAAAGTAAAACAAGACCAATGAAATGTTCTTTTATTATTGTTACTTATGCGCATCTGTTAGCATTTCAGCATAGATGCAATAATATGGTGACGCGATATATTTGGTGGAAACGTATTGAAGTTTAGCAGATGAAAAACATCAAATGGTGATACAAAGGACGGTGGTGCCATCTACTGACATTTTATCTAATTTTATATCAACAATTTAATACCATCTGGCATTCTTAGCATAAGAAAAGTTACAAAATATGTCAATAGGTGGCACCACTTGAATTACAAGTTCTAGTTGAATAGAAACGAGAAAAAAGATTTTGATAAAAAATAAGGATCAGAAGGAATAAATTTAAAAACAGTTAATGGAACATCTTCCTAAGGTCCTTTTGATAAGTTCTGTTACAATTTAAAATTTTCAATAAATTAGTCCCTCAGCTTTCAGAAACATTATGTACCAACTTGTCTTCTGTTTTAAATTTTTAACTTATTTTTATTTTACTTTCATATTGTTACAAAATTTTAATTTATCATTTATTTTTTTTTATTTAAACTAAGCAATTAAAATTTTTGAATATTAACCGCTGATCGAGAATAAAAAAGTATTTTTAGTAATTTACCGGCATGAGTACAAAATTTTAAATTGAACCACCATCTTTCAAGTTCAAGTTTATCGAAATTATTCAAAGTAATTTCAAACAGTAATTCAAAATGCTAAATAAAAATTTAACTCACCAGTAAGGAAAATTTTAGAAACAAATGAAAATAAAATTTTACATACCTATGGTTTTTAAATTTTAAGTCTTTTTCGCCCCACCCCCCTCTTTTTTTGGAAGGTCGCAAAGAAAACCATTTTTATTTCCTTTCATTAATACCTATTACTCAATTAATTTAAAAGCTAAGACACTGAAAATTATATTATGTGGTAACACTTCTTCCCTGTAAAAGAAAATTACTTTTAAAATTTCGTTTGTGGTATTAAAAGTTGTTCAGTTTTTATTAACAAATTGTACATTAATAAGCATCCACGCAATCTATAAAATGTAAATGATAAATGCTAGAATGTTTAATCAAAGATACCTTTACTTAAAGCATAGAGAACTCGATTCTCTGCTTTTGCGGTTTTAGAGGCAAATTCTTTTCATAAAATTGCGACTTAAATGGATATAAACTTATTAAAATGGATTTTAACAATGATCCAATCAACCGATTAAAACGTTAGTCCGGATTAGGGGGATAATTTCATTTTATTTATTTATTTTATTTGAGTAATAAGCAAATGAATGAAAATATATACGAAAAGAGAGATTTCCAAAATCTCGACATAGTTGAATCATCTTGAATAATTTAATCCATTTTTCTTTAATTTTTTTAGTTTATTATGCTAATAAAGAATTTTAAATAAATCTGAAGGATTATGAAATTTACTTTGATTGTAAAGAAAAATGTCGCATCATATTTCAGTTAATAAAGTTTCAAATTATTTGAAATAGTTAAAAGTTAGAAAATAAGAATTATGAACAATCAACTGCATTTAGCATATCCGCTTGGCATTATAACTTTAAATTTATCATTCTGCGTTACCTTCACAAAAGCAAAATTTTTAAGAAGCTTCCAAAGCCAAAATTCATAACTAAATCTGTAAATTTCATAAGGGATCATTTCTAGAATAACGACAACAAAGCAATTATCTTTTTGCAAATGCATCAATTCAAGGGCAATCAATGCTGTCTTTTCTCCGAAAATAAATCTAATTTTTCTGATTATTTATCCGCCTTTTTGTTAACAATTTATTGCAATTGCGAAAATAACGTTTCATTTTCCTATGAAAACTTTCTATGCAGAAATCTCTGTCCCTAAACTATCAATACATTTCAATTTCTAAAATGAAGCAAAATTATCCCTCGCTGTCTCTAAAAATTGTATACAATCCTTTTGACTAAATGAAAATATCCAACGTATCTAATAATTCTATACATTTGTATTCGTATGCCCTAAACAACAGTGCGACAGTTAGTGACAGCAGCACCATTCAGTCTCCAGATAAAATATGCATATTGCATTCTTAGACTTACAATCTTTATCATTTAAAAGATTATATGTCTTTCTCACATATCCTTTTTGAATACTATTAAACGGTGTTTTAGTACAGTTTGTTTCAGCTTCCTGCTCTCAAACTGCAGACATTAAGCAACTAACTGGAGACTATCGCATTACCTTTTATTAATGCTCATTCCGATGTGTGGTAGTAGAACATATAAAAGGAGTAAAGGATTGAAACTACAAATAATCCAGAATAGCTGTAAGCACATCCTATCCCGATATTTACAGAGTGGGTTGTATTATCTTTTGCAGGCCAAATGAGTATTTATTTTAATCAAAGTAAGGATTTATTTTTCCTTTGTTGAACTTTATTTCAGCAAAATTCAATTCGTCGGAAACATGTATTATACATTGTTCTTAGTGGAAAGCACGTTGAAATATAACGCATAAAAAATACATTACACATATCAAAATGTTAGTGGAAGGTTGTTGGGATTTATTCAATTTACTTAACGGAGCCCACCAGCGGCCGAGGGGTAAAGTCGCTGAACACTGGTAGTTCGGTCCGAGGTTCGAATCCCGCGAACGGGCTGGCTGCATGGGCGTTTTCGTGGTTTTCCCCATGTGTAACATGTATACGAGCCAGTTTTCCTTAGAAAGTCCTCCATGAAGGCATCCCTTCCCTTTAGGCAGATAGCCCTAGTGTGCTTTGCCATAATTAAGTAAACCAAACCAAAAAAAAAAAAAAAAAAAAAAAAAAAAAAAAAAAAACAATTTACTTAACAATTAACTTGTATTCTGAAGCAATCTTTTCTATCTCTCTTGCTTTCAGCTCACGCCTTCTTGCTAAAATGTAAATCAGTTAGCTTGCGAGTATTCAGATGGGATAGAAAGAAGTAAGTATTTAAGGAATGGTTCTGGAAGGTGAATTTGCAGCGTGTTCTACTTGCCTGCCACGTTGCTATATTTGATTTACTAGCTGTCAGCGTTGGGCATTGAGCGCTTCTTGCTGTTAGGCTTGTTTATGCCGACTTTTACAAATCAAGGCCAGCCTGCATGCTAAGTAGCCTGAGAAGCCGTTAGGCTAAACTTAACTCCATTTAATTTTTAAGTTATTTGTTACCTTTTTAAGTTAAGTGAGAAGCGTTGGCTTCTCACTTAACTTAACACGAGTTGATCCCACTAGTGAACGTTAATTTGAGTTAATAAAGGGTTATTTACACTCTTCTCCGGACTTAGTCATACTTAAGACATAGGATAATTCACTACACAATCTCCTAACGTCTAGTTAGTTTATGCTTCCAAAGTATACGAGCGTTATAAAGTCTTTGACTGAATTTACATTGTTTATTATGAGTTTAAAGCCAAGAGCAAGTTGAGTTATTTGGATTGTGATAAAGCACGCAAGGGCTAATCTCTATGTATCGCATAATTATTTTTATTAGTAATTAAACGTTACCTATTATTTGCAAAATACTTAGAACAAATCTACATTCTGGTAAAAAATAAATTTAATATTGTCTTAAAGAATATATCAGATAATCTACTATCTTTTTTATGTTGTTTATGTCAAAGGGAAAAAGTTAGAAACACATAAATTCTCAGCATGTTTTGTTTTAATTTGTCTACGAAGAATAAAAAACGACGTGATAATTGCAATATATATATATATACTCAGGCTGCTCAATAACTGATTATATAATTTGTAAGAATTTCAAAGATTATATTACCCTGAAGGGTTATTTATAAACTGCTTACTTACCTTATGTTTTTAAATAAAAGCGAATCAGAAATACTCTAACTTCGTACATTTTTTTTTTTTTTTTTTTTTTTTTACATTTATGTGCTAAACATTTCAAATTTTTCTCTTGTACGACTCTTGGGTTCCTTTTTTTTAGAAAATATGCACCAAACAATTTTCTACAGAAGAATATATGCACCAACTTCATGTTCGATACTTTAATTTAAACACAATTTTCTTCTCTGTGATAACATTTTTCTTGTTTTCAGTATTGTCAATTTAGATATTTTGAAGTGTCTCCATTTCCGTCTTTGTTTTGAAATAAGTAATTAACAGTTAACGTTATCACAGTTAAAACGAGCTGATGACGAAAAAATATTTCATGAATATGCCAAACTGGTGCCTATAACTTTGTAGATGAAACTGTTCCCATGTGTGATCCATGGAAGAAAAGTTCCAACTTTTTTTTTTTTTTTTTTCAGTTGAGACTGCCGAAATTACCATTGAATGTAAAATATTCCATCAATCTTTCCTCAGATAGTTCTTCGCTTCCTGCACGTAGCTAAAATGGTTTGTAAAGCATTATCTCATTCCCATTTACCTCACGCTTGCTCCATGTGGTGTAAGTACTTAACACACCCAGCTAAAATCAGAAAGATCTGTGATTCGAAATCCTTCGAGAACATTGGTGGCTTCACACGTTTCCTGTTCCTAAAACGCCTATTAGTCTCGACGAAACATTTATTTCCATTTATGTTTTAAGAAAAAAATCGTAATCTTTGACTAAATATTCAATCTCAGCTAAAGCTACAATTTTTTTTTTTTTAAATTATAGCAAAGACCTCGAGACTTCATCTGTACAAAGGGAGGCATTTTTTCCTTGGGAAATTTTTAAGCGAAAAGTATTCTTATACAATAAAATAAAGGTTAGAAGGAAGAGAATTAAACCATCACATTCATTTGCTCGAAACAAGGGCTAATTTAATTTGCAAATGAAGCTCGAATTACAGGGATTTGATTGGCGCAGTTTCGCGTATTCATAGACTTTGTTTAAAAAATTATATTGGAAAACTATTTTGAGACTTGGTGCAAATTTAAAAAACTAGCAGACGTATTATGTGGTTCAAAAATTTAAAAAGAAAAATTTTATAGGTGGGTGTGCTTTGAAAGCATAAAATAAATTTTATTATTTAATACCGTAAAATAAGCAAAATCCTTTCTAAAAAATGTAAAGGTCATCAACACATTAGCACACAGACACTGCAAACTTCACATGGCGTCATTTACAACAAGAGAAATACAAAAATATGTAAAAGGTAAACTAAAAAACTAAATGTATTTCATATTTCAGGAATTTATGCAAATATTTAAATGTACTTTTTATTTTGTTTCTATGTATTTCAGATTATTTTGTATTTGCTTGCTTTTTATATTGTAACATTATATTTTGTTCTTGGTGAATTTTTGTGTAATCCTTAAATTGTAGTTCCCATAATGCATTTGTTTCTATTAATTGTCATTATTATTTGCAGATTTCGTAATTCTGAGTAAATAGAAGCTGGAATTGTGAAATCAGCCTCAGCAGAAACCAGAAGTATGGGCTGTCAGTTATCTTTTTGGGGACATTTGACCATTTTTTAGCTAACAAGGAAACATTTTGGATGTTTCCAGAGAAGCACTTTCGAGTTTAAGGGCAATTTTTAATTTTTAGCTGATTCAAATAGTACTATTTGTCTTTGTATAAATGGGTGCCCTGATAAACTGTTAGTTTGGTTAAGAAATCAGATTTTCTGCTGTAGACTGAACGTTACGTCAGCTGCTCATTATCTTTATATTTTCTTTGAATTATTTTTAATTTTTCTCCTTTAAATGTTATAACGTTAATCACTTTAAGTTTTGATAAAACGTCGTTGTTTAAAGAGATCTTGAAATCATTACGCTACTAAAATAATTTCGCAGTGACTCTGGGCTGCCAGTATTGATGTAAGATCAGGTTTGGTTTCATTGATTACGTCAAAATGCGCGAGGGTGACCTGCCTAAGAAGAGGGATGCCTTAAGGGAAGACCTTCTATAGGAAGCTGGCTCTTGTCTATGCTACATATAGCGAAAACCATAAAAGTGTCCATACAATCAGCCTGTTCGCAGCATTTGATTTCGAGTCGAACTACCTGAAATCCTGAAATCAGCTGAGTTGGCCTCCGCCTCAGAGTATTACATAGTTCATACAGAATTGGTTACCAACTCAGCAGTTTTAGGCCCTTGAAGATATTAATTGCACTGTGCTTTTTAGAAAGCTGAAGCTCTTACCTAACGTACATAATACAAATATAAAATATAAAAGCAAATATGTGATGCAATTACATAATACAAATACATAAAACATTCTTGAATAAGTACTAAAACATAGCTGAGTTATTAAAACATTACACAAAAGTGATTACATCTTATGAAACTAATGTGTGCTCCCAATACCTCTACTTTATACCTATACATTGTACATTTACCTGTACTTGATAGATCAATAACTTGTACCATATTATTACATAACTATATTATTACAGAAATGCATTATACAGCATGTACAAATACAATATATTATCAATCTACTTCTTCGCGAGTATTTTTACAAAGTAATGCATTATACAGCAGGTGCAAGTACAGTGTTTTATCAATCTACTTCTTAACGAGTACTTTTTTTGCATTCTTAGGTAAATACTAAAGCCTGTTTCAAGTACTGATACATTACACACATGCAAATTTACCTTACAGTATATAGTACTTTATCCAATCACCTATACTTTATAATATTACTGTGCATAATACAAAACAAAAACAGAAACAAAACAAAAAACTTCCAAGTACATTTATAATACAGTACATTGTACAAGTATGTTGTAACTGTACATTACATAGTTACCAATATTTAATACAATTGCAAGTATATTACAATTGGTACATTTACGGATGAATGACAGAAGTGCACTAATTACAAATACAGTTACGTATGAATTTACTGTTCATGTTAAATGTAAGTTTTCTAATATGTAGAAAACTAATTTTTGATAAGGGTTTGAAGAATAAATTAATTATATGCGAATTTCGAAGAGCCATGCTCTCCTTAAGTCCCATGCGTTTCAGGGATCAGTTGAATTACATCTCCTTATCTCAAGTGCCAACTCACTATTCTATATCAAATCTGTGCTACAGCTACTGATGTTTACCTTTGAAATATAAAGTATGTACTATCTTGTTAAAGAAAAAAAATATGTAAAAGTATCATTAATGAAGGCCATAATAAAGTTCTAAATAGCATCACTTTTAAATTACCGCAAATTTTCTTTTCACATCAAAGTGAGCTGTTTTACTTCCTGAATGCATATAGGGATTGTACACATCTGCAGTATCGGAATGAAATGCCATAAGATTCAGAAGCAGGTAAAACGGTGAGCTAGTGAGGTACTTGCTTCAGGTGAACAGTTAGAAGGAGTGCTAAATTAGCTGCAAAATGTTTTAAATATATAAAAAAATGAACTAAATGTTTTTAATTTTCAATTTCAAAATGTATCTAGAAGAATCATTTTAAAACACCGCATTCAGAACCATGGAAAAAGCGCAGCACCCTTGAGCATTTGTGCACTCGCGTGCTTTTTTCTTAAACAATATAGAAAACAAAATCAAACATTTAATTAATTATTAACGATTTAATATTTTATTTGAGACAAAAAATCATTATTACATTATATTTTATGTAATTTAATCTCGTTATTATTGCTTTATATTTATATAAATGCATCAGATTTATACTACCAAGCGGTAAATCATTAAAATGGTTGAAATTATATGCCTATTTAAGAAACTAATAAAGTTCTAAATATTCAAACCTTTTATGCGTATCTCATATGCAGGAAATTTACCATTGAAAAAAGCGGAAATAGTAAAATAAAGCCTTACAATCAAAACTTTAGTTATACACAAAGCTGTATTCTTCAGAGAGGGATTAATCTACTGTCGAATCCAGGCGAATGATTTTTGCATTTGATCTTCGTATTTTTTCCAGTGTGTAGCGTAAATTTAAGCCGCTTTCCCTTTCAAATTCTTTCACGGATATACCCCTTTCTTTAGAAATATAGTCCTCGTATAATTTGTCGTATTGAATTAAACAATACTATAACAGATGGACTGTCTCATTCTTTATGAAAAATGAGAGAATATATTATTTAAACATTAACTTTAAAGATGAGTATATCAATAGAACAGAAAGAGAAGTGAAAAAAAGATTAATGTGTCAAACTTTCAAAAATTTATTGCTAATGTAACTAATTTTTCAGATAGAAACAATAGAAGTGATAGATATTCTAATCTCTCAACTAAAATGGAGGTGCGAAAAATTACACGAGATAACTTCAGATTTAAAATTTCTAATCAGCGAATTGTTATTTGATTCAGGTATTTTGAAACCTGAATCGAATAATTTTGTTATCGATTATGTTATTCGATTAATATTTTTTTTTTATTTTATTTTATTTATTTATTTTTTTTTTTATTTTTATTTTTTTTTTTGACAAATGCGAAAAAAATTTTAATAAAAGCCGTATCTTCAGATCCTTAAATAATTATTCTTATCACATTCTAAATCAATTAGCTCAATTTATAGGTTTTCGGATGCTTTATTTACGTTTGTTTTTAATAATAATGAAAATAGTGTAAACTCGGATTTCAAACAAATAACTAAAATCTTGAAATCTTTGCAACACCGTATTTGAAACAAATACGTAACTGAAATGTATCACAGGCCAAATAAAACTGCTTCGTGGGTCACATGGAGGTCACCAGTTTGAGAACACTGACTGAATGGTATATTTTGCTTTTTCAGAACAAGATTCCGGCAGAGCTTGGCTTTGAAATATGATTTTTAATTTGCGGTAAAGTGTTATGTTTTTCGCCCAGCTGTATATCCCAGTAAAAAACATTTCTCTACCTATACATACCAAAAGCCATGCAAAATCAGCTTCTTTGCGTAAGAAGATATTCCCCTGCGGCTATTAATAGTTTGACCTAAAATAAGATACCTGTGTACAAAAGAGAAACAATTGGTGTTTGAACGTTTATATAGTCAATCTTAATTTATGCCTACAGTGCTCTGTAGTTACATTATAACAAAATTAAATTGTAACTGTCCTTTATAAAGGGTAATAAAAATTTTGAGTGACTATGTGTTTTAATTAATGTGCAGGAAATGATTGACTTGAAAGAACCGAATTTATTGTAACGACCTCAACGATGTCATTTGCAGTAATTTAATACTATATCTGTTATAGCACAAACTGGTTTGATTTATTAAATTTTTAAAACGTATTTTACGTATCTCTAAATTCTGATAAGATAACTTTTAAAATAAATTGAGATATTATGGTAAATATAAAAATTTTTAAACATAAATTCATTTCATAGACATTGCACAACTTCTTAGCTATCACTTTATATTTCTACTTTTTTCTACCTTTATTATCTTTTATCTCTACTTTTTTCCTAAACAACAATTACTTGTAAGACACAGGCTAATACTAAAATGGTCTGCTAGAACAATTAATTCTAAAAAGGGTTACGCAAGTCAAAATGTTTAAAGATTACTGCTCTAGGTATTCCACCAGAAATAGGTATTTTAATAATTTTGGTCGCTAGAAGAGAAACAAACAGGATATACGCACTACTTAAAATATTTCATAATACTTCACAAACAAAGTTATTATTATTAAAATTTTCAGTTAAAAGTTGTTAATGGGAGCTTCTTAAATTTAGTATATGAATATCCTAATTGATAAATAAAAAAATCAGTGTTGCATGAAAACGAAATTCAGGTATTAAAAAATGAAGAAATTGCGAACTTTCTTTACTTTATTCTTTACATGCTTGTGTTTGAAATGTTCACCTTTCCCTGTATTAATCGGAAATATTCATAACAAGATTTCCGTTTAAGATGAATTATTTACACTGTAGTCGTAATCACGATTACTATGCACAGTATTATTAACATGTTAGTCAGGTAAAGATTTTAAAACACACTGTTTTTATTTTTCTCAGATTGTTATTCTTGAATAATGATTAGAGGTGTTCAATTTTAAATAAAAAATATTTCACCAGTTTTATCTAGTTACCCAAAAAGAGAAGAGGGGAAGACATCAAAGCTGAGATTGGTTTTACATACTCTTCATGAGTTTCCTATTTTTTATCTAGAAATTTCCATTTTCTTCTGCTTTTGATATATCCCAAAGACTTTATTAAAAATATTGTTGTATTTTTAACATTTATATGAATCGTAAATCTTAGGATATCCTCAGTATGATTATTCCTAAAGAATTCGTAAATTTAAAACATAATTTGATTATTTTTTGGAGAATTATTTTTTTTTTCCTTCTAGCATGACCGTTTCTTATTTCCAGAAGCAAATTAAAACATGGTACAACTACTTAAATAAGCTTACTGAAACAAGCGGTTTCTGCAGAGCTGTACAAAATTAAAGAAATAAATAAGTAAAAATGCTGGGCGACAACTATTGATAGGAGTTAAACATGTTAAAATTTTGTAGATTACATAGATTATAGAAAAACCTGCCATCTGTTGGCATTTTGTATAACTTTATGTTTACAATTTAATATCGCCTGGTTTTCGTAACAAGAAAAGTTACAAAATACGTCAATAGGTGGCACCACTAAAACTTCTGCTAAAACACTAGCAACCATAGAAGATATCAAACTCAATAGCGTATTTAAAACTCGCAAACTCCCCACCCCTTACGTAACTTTCCCACAATTTTTTCAGATTATGATTTAGAAACTTGTAATTTATGATAACCATGTGAAATGTGTGCATAAAGAGGAAAGTATTTTGTGCAAGTAAAAAGAATAAGAAATTTTTTTTTAATACATTGTATGTAATAATATTATTGTATCTTCATCAGAGCTTAATTTCTAAAATTAAAAGAGCCGAAGCCCTACCGTAGACCCTCAGGAAAGAGAAACAAGAAGAAATAAGTAAATAAAATAATTAATAAAATCATTAATCATTATAAAGTGATTAATAATTAAAGGAATATATTAAAATTTATTTCTTTAGTGATTTTAAATTTTTAATCTAACAATAATATTATATATTAGATTATTAGTCCAAAAGTGCTTTGTCTTTGAGGGACTATTGTTTTCGTTTGGCAATTTTGCGACGAATCACTCTGAATCTCTGTTTTACTTTTCAAGTTCAAAAATTATATTTGATGTATGTATGTATCTATGTATGTGATTATGTCAAAGACTCGAGGTCTATCTGCCTAAAGGGAGGGATGCCTTCGTGGAGAACTTTTTAAGGGAAACTGGCTCGTATACACGTTACACATGGGAAAACCACGAAAACGGCCATGCAGCCAGCCCGCTCGCGGGATTCGAACGTCTTACAGAACTACCAGTGTTCAGCGACTTTACCGCTCGGCCGCTGGTGAGCGCTGTATTGTATTTGAAGAAATTAAATAATGAAGAATCTGCATAAATGTATGCATGTTTTTCTCATTGTGATCAAACAACGGTACCTAAAGCCGTCCAATTTTGAATGAAGTAATCCTACTGCGAATATAGGCATCTGGAATAACAAATCTGAAATTTGGAATTTGTTTTATTATCAATTTCCTATTTTTTAAGGTTTTAACGAATTTTTGATTAAGAAACTCAAAGGATTTCAAAGCGAGCAATGGCAATGTTGTATAGAAAACACATTTTCTCCAGCGCGTGAGACTGCGTATCGGAAATACTAAGGATATGCTCAATCCAGAATTATTTTGCGACATTGCTATTGAACTGCATTTTATGGTTTAAGTGCAAAGAACATGA